GAAGCGGTACTTCTCGCTGAACGGGCTGTTCGTGTTCTACTACGTCAACCACCAGCAGCGCACGAAGCGGAAGGGCATCATCGTGCTCGAGGAGGCCTCCATCCGCCTCGGCTCCGTGCACGGCATGATGGCCAAGTACGCCTTTGAGGTCGTCACCCCCAACCGCATCTGGATCCTCTGCTGCGACTCTGCCGAGGTACACAACCAATCAACGGCACCACACACACACACACACACACACGCACGCACGCACACAAACACACACACACACACACACACGACGCACACGACACACGACACGAGGTGCACGCGTCTCATGGTTGGTCGGTTGGTGAGTGCAGGACATGGACGCGTGGGTGGACGCGATCCAGAAGGTGAAGGAGGTGCAGGCCAACAAGGTGCTGAAGAGTCAGCTGGAGGAGATCAAGAACGGCGTCGCGGCCTTCGCCGGCGTCTACGACACTTACAACATCAAGTACCCCGATCCCCATAGGAAATGGTACTCACCGCACGAGACACACACACGACACACGAACACGCCGCACGCCACGACACACGGCTGAGGAATGTGTGGAATGTATGTAGGATTTTGCAGTGGTGGTTCCCGCAGTGCCTCGAGGTGCTGGCGTTCTCGATCCTGGGCGAGAAGCAGGAGGCCGCCGCGGCGGTCGAGGGCACCGGCAACGGCACCAACAGCGGCCGCGAGAAATTGTCGGCCTCGACCTCGAGCCTCGAGTCGAGCCTCTCGCGCGAGGGCAAGGTACTGTGCGTGTGCCGTGTCGTGTGTGTCGTGCGGCGCGTGCCATCTAATGAATGAAAAATGTGAACAATTGGACAGACTTCGTTATCGTCGTCATCATCGCGGCTGTCGTCTGGTCGTCGGGAGCGGAACTTCATTGACAAGCTCATCAACCAATTCGTCGTCAATTCCGGCATCGCCTTCTACCTTCTCACGGGAGGTACTACACTCACGCACGCACACACACAATCACACACACACACACACACGACACTCATAAATTCTAATTTTTTGATACTAGATTACCTGTTCGATGACGAGATGGTGCGCAGCGTCGACGGGGTGTTCCAACCCAGCCTGACGCTGGCCAACCACTACAAGCACATCCAGGTACACCTTGTACCCGCCACATTCATTGCATTCTAGTTTCCATCTTAGTTAACATTTCTATGTCATGGTGCCACCATGTGTCGTGTCGTGTAGTTTCAACATGAGAACATGCAGCGCCTGCAGCATCTGAAGTCGGCCGTGCACGAATCGCTGCGGTCCAGTGTGGCCAAGGGGCCGTTCGACCAGCAGAGCGTCAACGCCCTCATGCAGTCCTACTCGGCCTTCAAGAGCGCCCAAAGCCCGGAGACGCCCCACAAGGTACCCCCACTCGCTGTACATTCTTTACATTCTTCCAATGCACATGCGACTAACACGCACGACACGACCAACGACACGACACGACACGACACGCACGGCACACGACACGACACGCGACAGAGGCCGATGATGATTTTGAACACGCTTACGCAGTGCCTCGACCTGCAGGGCTGCTCTACACAATCCTCAACGAACTCTCCGACACGGTGCT